AGCCACAATTTTGAATTATTTCCAAATACATCATAGGTTCATTCTTTATAGATATGCAGACTTCAATTCCATCCGTATAATTGCACCATATCTAAAGACCCAACTAAAAACTTAAAATTTAATTGAGTGGAAAAACTTAAAATTTAAGAGAGAGGTTAAATTACTTGTAAATGACAAATAATAAAATTTGAAATTTTTTCTCTCAAGGATATTTTGTTATTTGTAAAATACATGATGGATTTTGATGAAATATGAAGACAACCAAAGTTTAAAGAAATTATGAGATGAGCATGAAGGTCAACTCTGCAAGGGCACACGCAAGGCCTTGGAGGTTTTGTGGAATTAACCAACTAAAAAACTGTACTAGTATTTGATTTGCACTTCGGATCCTGACTCGATAATAACTCCTATCCAAATTCAGGTAAAACCCATGAAAGTGGGACCCTCAAATATTCGCTTAACTTGCAACTTGTTAAGTCTGAGCGTATGTTTGGATACCATGATGATTTTTGTGTTGCATTTTGAAAACGTCATGGTGTTTTCTCTAAAAGTGTTCTCAAAACTCCATGGTAAGTGTTTTAGGTCAACAATAGTTTGACCTTTTATACCATTAAAAATATTAGTAATATATTAATATTAACCATAATATTAGATATTATATTAACACTCTTGAAACTCAAAACACAAACACTGAGTTTGAAACACATTTTTGATGTTTTGAAATAAATATTGTATTTTTAGTTTTTGATATTATAAGCTAATAAAAACATCATCATTTTTAAACACATAAGTTTTTATTTTTGACAAATGCACTATACTATGAAAACACTAAAAACACGGTCGTTTCCAAACGCTACCTCAGCTAAGGGCCCGTTTGTTTGCACGGAAGTAACTGTGAAATAGCAGAAATAGAGGAAGTAGAGGTTACTTCTGCTACTTCTAGGCAAAAATGTATGTTTGTTTCTCTTGAAAATTTACTTCCGCTACTTCCTTAAATGATGACGTGACGTCTACGTGGCACCTCTATTTCCTTGATATTTTTCCGTCTTCGAATGCACTGAAATGCGGCGGAAGTTGATGTAGGGTGGGGTCCATGAGAAAAAAAAGATTCTTATAACTATAATTAGGGAAGTGATGTGATTTCCTTCTTAGGGCATCTCCAACCCAGCACCAAAATGGTGCAAACAGTGCATTTTTTGGCACTGTTCCTTTTCCAACCCTGCCCCATTTCCTGCGTCATTTTGGTGCATTTGATCAGTGCTGCACCAAATATGGAGTCGCATTGTTCATCGCTTCATTACTGTTCATGTTTTATTTAAATTTATAAAACAACCCTAATAATATTTAAATTTTATAATTTTACTCCAATTGTATAATTTGGACAAAATAAATTATTTTTTAATTATAAAAATAATGTTAAAATTTAAAAGATATTATTATTAATTATAATATTAAAATCTAGACATTATAATTAAAAGTAGATAAAAAGGAATATATGAAAAAAATAAAATTTGATATGTGGGGTTAGTTGTTGAAATAGTTAAAAATATAGGGAATAGAAAATAATAATATAAAAGTAGATAAAAAGGAATATACTGAGAATATTCTTTCTTGGTGCAAAAAATGGTGCAGTGGGTTGGAGATGAATTATTGTTACATGTGACTTTTGCACTATTTTGGTGCAAATTTGCACTATTTTGGTGCAATGGGTTGGAGATGGCCTTATCTCCTCAAATTGCGATAAGAAAACACGGGGTATAATGTGTACGTTTGAAATCAATACTTAACTGTTATTGTCAATCACAATCCATAGAAAAGAGAGCATGACGAAACTTTAAACTCGCAATTTGAGGATTATAAGTCTTTAACTTTAAAATGACTATAAAATGGCAATAGTTAAACTCGCGGTTCTAGTGCCCGCCGACTTCGCCAATTTCTAGTCATTTTATATCTTCTTTTTTTGATTTTAACTATATCTCAAATTGCAAGTCTTTAACTCGCAGTTCTAGTCCCCGCTACTTCCCCTTCTAGTCATTTTATATCTATATCCTCAAATTGCAAGTCTTTAACTATATTGTTGAAGTGTGTGTGATAATTAATATAGTTTCATATAGTATCTGAAATATTAAGTATATTTGCAATGCCCTGCGGTTTCAATAGGAACGCTCAATTTGAACCCACAACAATTCTATTTCTATTTCAATGACAATCCAAACAAAAATAAAATGGAAGCAACATATATTAATTAATTCCTAGTAATATTTTCAAATATTATCCAAACAAAAAAGTAAATGAAGAGGAAGAAGTTCTACTTCCATTACTTCTAAAAATATATGAAACAAAAAAAAAATGCTATTTCCGCTACTTCCTATTTCATAATTTTAGAAGTTACTTTCGTAACATACTTCTTACTTCTACTACTTTCATTCTCAAAACGGTTCTAAGCTGATAAAAGACGTCATCTCACATCAACTCGGTGTTGTTGAACTCCGGCAGAACAGCTGATCCTCTGTCGAGTTCCCTTCACTCCGCCTTCGTAACCCCCGACCAACAAGATATTTTCCTTACAAAAACCCAATCCAGTCACCAATGCGGAAGCCCCCAACACTTCACCTAACCACTGACTAAGGGCCCCACCAACCATAATGCTCCATCAATCCCCCGCCCACCCCGCACCAATTATCCACGTTTCAGAAATCAATTGGCCATAAGCCAACCCGTCAACGCCAATAAATGACGATCCAAGAGGGGAGGCTCCTCGTCCAATCCCAAAACTAACGCTGTCA